GGAAACGATTATGATATGATGCGAACCTGTATCACGAAGACGTAACTTGAGGGATTTTTTCATAGCATGACAAGATCGAAATGAATCGCCAGCGGCCCAAGGAGAAAATTTATCTTCAGATCTCCGGCTTTTCTCCACTTCTTCGGCAGCAACTCGCAAAAAAATTCCGACAACACCCTGCAACAGCAACGACGAAAAAATGAGTGCCTGAACGAATGAGCGATTAAAATTCGTTTATTGCAAATACATTTTTGGTAAAGCTTGCACCCTGTACTTTTTGTGCAATTTTTTTTTTCAGTGGCATCGTTTCATTTTACTGCACTTGTGATACACTACAACTAAAAAAAAAAAAGATATTTCAAGTGAGAAGCCTACATTCTAGAAGTGTAAAACATGTGCTTGACCTCTTGCCGAGCAGTTTAACCTGTAAATGCAAATCCGCCCTACTATTATTCATGCCCATCAAACGGTTCCAGCAGCTAGATGTTTTTTCTTATACATGCATTCTTTTTTATACGTATATTTTGAACACCAATGCATAAACTTGCTCGGTTAATGAGATGCTCCAGGTGCGAGAATTTTAGGCCGCAAGGGTCACACACCGATTCCCGAACACCTCAGTTCTGCGGGAGTGTTCCTCGGATGCACGAACGTTTTGTATTGCATAGATTCTCTTCGTGATACAGTATTGAATTCGGAGCGGATTTTACTCAAATAATTTGGTCGAATTGATTTCAATATTCGCGCGAAATTCTCGAACAGAAATGCTGTACGCGGTAACTTCAATTGTGATCGTTTGCGGCACATTTCCGACTGCGTTCGCAAATGATCCCGGTGAGGAAACATACGAACTACCGCATAAAAATGCTTTGAACGTTTATATACACTTATTCCACACGATCAGTAATGGTTTGTCACATTTATTTACTTCGTCATGAAAGTACAGTAGAACAGGAAACATACGAACTACCGCATAAAAATGCTTTGAACGTTTATATACATTTATTCCACACGATCAGTAATGGTTTGTCACATTTATTTACTTCGTCATGAAAGTACAGTAGAACAGATTCAACTGCGTGAATTTGATACGCCTTTTTTCAGTTTTTATTTGGAAAAATCAGGGTGCGTACAATTTGTTCGAAAGAATTCAGATTCATCAACACAGCTTTTTTTTTGTTTTGCCTATGCACCAAGTTTTTTCATTAACGCTTGAGGGCGAAAAACCCCAACCAACAAATATCAGGAAGTACAATAAATATGTAGGAACGAAATCTCGCATTTTGAAATAATTCACAAAATTTTCCTGCGTCCCATCGAGAACCTTTTGCGGACCACGGGGTTGAAAAACTTAAATTATTCACGTAATCAAGCCACGAAGACAAAATTTGGCGGAGGGAATTTCGAGTTATCGAAGTGCAACTTTCAATTGAACCTCTTCAAGTTGAATTCCAAGGGATCAGCAAAAAAATGCAACTTTGAGAGGTTTAAAATTATAGAAACTAACTTTTTGCCTAGGAAAAATAAGTTGAAATTCGAGATCTTTTTCAGCACATAGCTGCCTTATAAAAAAAAGCTGGCATTATTCCTTCACTTCCTTTCAAAAAGCAACAAGTTACATTTCTATCGCTTCTCCCTTTCCAGTTACACTTGAACGGCGAAAACTCGAGCCTCTCACAGGTGGATTTTTTATAATCCGCTATGAATTCCCTTCAAAACAAAGCATTGACAACCCTTCTCAACTCGACGGATTTCCTCTTCAAATCTTTGTATCTCGAATTTTATTCAGGTTTTTTGACTATAATTATATTGACACTGGAAAGATCAATAAAAAAGCAATCTATTGATCAATAAAAATGTTAAGAAGCTTTTTCAAAGGAAAAGAAAGACTAATTCAGCAAATAAAGCCTTGCGTCGAAGTTCAGCATCTTGTCAATACATATAGGAAACAATCCAAGGCCTACAATATCACAGACTAATATTTCCCGTAATTCTTTCTTTTGGTCAACACAAAATCTTCTTGTTTCTCCACCTCGAAACGTCTTTGACTCGGGATTGTTTTTCCTGGTCCCTTGAAATTCGACTAAAATAGGTTCGATTGTAAGAAGGTTCAAATGCATTTTCTCTTTTAAAATATTTGACAGTTGACCACCACGTCTTTTAGCCTACCAACTAAAGGGGCGGGTTGAAGTCAGGTTGGTGTCGTCGTACGATGGTTCGTCGTCGTCTTCAGCGGGTGAGTTGGAAGTCAAGGTGGGTGCTGAAGTAGGAGAGTCAGGGTCACGCAACTTCCGAACTCCAACACTTCAAATCCCTGTTCCAAACCGGGACCCGGAAATTCATAGGCCCGTCCCACATCGGCGAAGAATCAATAGTCGCCGAACTCGCGTCAAACCCTACACTGTATCAATCAGTCGAATTCTTTCCCCCACTTCCTCTGGGCAACGTTTCAGCGTTCGGAGCCAACGTCAAGTGGTCAGTCCCGAGTTTGCTTCATCATTACCACATGGTCCTCGCCAAACTCCAACAGTACACTAGTCACAACCTGACTCAACACCAAGCAACCCTGACAGTTATCCCAGTGACTTCGAGTCCCGGGTTTTCCGCGAGTCCATCGTGGAAATCCGTGGCATCGAGTCTCGTGCCCGGGGATAAGCTCAGGATATTGGAGCCGTTGGTGATGCCTTTGGAACAGAAGCTGGTGCAGGTGGTGCGAGAAGCAATAGAATTGGGGACCCAGCCACACGTCATTGTACTGGATCCGACTTTGACAACGACAGCGGTTCAAATCATTGCTGAACAGGCCCTGCAGCAAAGGCTGCGAAAGACGACTGTTCATATCCACGCGGCTTCGGCGATGAATTTCCAGCCTGATCTGAGACCCTGGCTGGAAGCTCACGGTGAATAATTTACAGTAAAATCCCGCCATAGCGAATAATCGATTACAACGAATTCGTTTTTCCAAGTCCCTGTCCAATATGTGAGAAGTTAATTTTAAAAAATGTCCGTTACAACGGATTGATCGTACAGGTATTCAAGGCTTTTTTCTTACGTTTTAGTGAACCTCATTTTTCTTCTGCTTTTTTCAGAAGTTTTTTTTTTTCAGAGATACACTTCTCTGCAAATTTTGCTACTTTTGAGCTCACCATGCTTGTGATCACATTCAGGGAACTTCAAAAAAAATGTTCACGGAATAAAAATGTATATGGAGGCTCAAATTAAACTAACAGATGAAACTGTGAAACAAAAAGCAAATGCACCATAGCTGAATTTGAATTTCATCAGCCTGAATGCTAAATTTCACGTTGAATTTCTTTTGACAAATTCATTTTCGCATCGCAGAAAAACGGGTGGCGCGTCTCAGGAGGACTAATTTTTAGAAATACTTCAATTTGAAAAATCAAGTTGCGCATCTTAGATGAGGGTGCACTGTACTCAGGTACAGTGCTGTGAATACTGTACTTGGATGACCAAAAGACCAGGCGTCAATCAAGACTAACAAAAACGCATAAATTTCCTCGAGTACTCTTCAGTCCGTGGCAATTTCACAAATTTGGCAAGAGTTGGAAAGGGAACAGGATCAAAACGATTCCAATGAAAGAAAACTGACTTCCAAAATTTTGGTTTTGTTCAATTTTGAACGCTTCAATTTGAAGAAAATTCGATAATAAACAGTATTCCGAACCAAGCTTGAGATCGGATGTAAAATTCGCAAAAATAAACTAGATATTCTATTTTTTTTACAGATAACCTCATCCTGCACACGGTGGAGTTCACAGGCCAAAATTGGCACAGCACAGCACGTAGACAAGTGTTCCTAAAGTTGAAGAAAATTTTGCAGCAAAACTCAGCCAAAAGCGTTCAATGCGCACCATCCGCAGTTTTCGTTCATGACGCCTTCGTGGCGGCTGCGGAATCGTCGAAGTCGCAAACTTTCGACGAAAAAATTTATCAAGGACTAGTACAGGCATTTTATCAACCGGATTCAATGACCAGGAAAACGGTGGCCGTCTTACACGCGTTACAACGCAGTCCTTGGATATGGGATGGGCCAGTTCCTGCATCGCATGATGAAATGTCCATGGAGGAAAGTCTTCCAGGGTAAAGGAAATTTACGCTATTCAAAATGCATAATTGAAAGTAATCGAAGTTCCACCGGAAAATGTACTGCCGTTTAATTTTCTTCAATCGGCAACTTTTTTTCACGCTTACACTCAAACCTCTTCAAGCTGAATTTCAAGGGACTAGCAAAAAATAAATCAAATCACGGAAACGAATTTTTTTTGTGTGCAGAAGACAAGATACCCAGAAATCGTAAATATTGATTTTCCGTGCATTAAATTGCTTCTCAAATGAGTTGACAGGAGGCTGAACTTGGAGGCAAGGGTACATTTGCACAATTAGTCGTAACTTCATTTCAAAACGCATCCATTTCTCTTTCCTGTGTCAATAAAAATAATACCCAAAAGGCCTCAGAATTCCAGTTATAAACGTTTGAAAGGAAAAGCCCTTCAAATAAGAGGTTTTCAATGCAAAGGGAATTCAGACGGGGAATTGAAAAAAAATCGACTCACGGAGGGTCGAGTTATCAAGATTCAACTGCACTAAACATGTAAAATAATCCAACTTTAATTTTCTTCCCTTTGTTTCTTGAGAACAGTGCAGCAGACCCATCAGCAGAACTTATTCACAAGCGGGCAGTGAAACGACTCTTCAAGAACAAGCTGGGAACTGACTGTGATGGCACCAGTGCCACGTTTAGCTCATACGACCCTTGGATGAGAACAGTGCAGCAGACCCATCAGCAGAACTTATTCACAAGCGGGCAGTGAAACGACTCTTCAAAAACAAGCTGGGAACTGACTGTGATGGCACCAGTGCCACGTTTAGCTCATACGATCCTTGGCAAATGGATCTGGTACAAGCCACATTTCCGATGCCCAGACTGCCAGTCATCTTGATACTGGCCAATATTTGGGGATTCTGGATCGAACTGCAATGCTGGAACTCGACACACACTGTGGGATACACGCTGGCTTGCAGCGCAATGCAGGAAGGCACCAAGCCATACAATGACAGTAAGTGAGGCAGTAAAAGAGCTGATACAGTATATGTTCTGTAAAATCCAAAAAACAATAATTCTCAGGATTCGGTCACAACCCCGTCTATCAAAAAAA